ACACACGTCCTGAGGAAGACAAGGATCACTTTGGGCAGTGACTGAACAGCTTTTCTCCCAGTCCCAGCCCCATCCTGCTGCAGGACGTGGCTGCACATACACAGGATGTTCCTGCACCTCCACCAGCTTTCTCCTGCTCGCCTTGTTGGCATGGATGTGGCTTAGCATGGTGCTCCCAAAGAGCCTTCCAAGGCAAGTGGTTTCAGTCGTGGGGAGGAAATCTCTGCATCCCTGTGGGGTGAACACAGGCTCCCCTGTGCCTGCCCACAAACATTGGCTTACCCATCAGCTTTTCAACCCCACTGCTCACCCCAAGAACACAACCCTGTGTGTGAAGTGCAAGGGAAGAACCACCAGCAGCAATAGCTGTTGGGTTTTCTCCTTCTGCCAGCCAGGACCAGGCTTTGCCCCAGCAACAGGAGGGCTTTAGCTGCTGCTCAGCTGGCTTAGCCCCAGTTACTGCCCCAGCAACACAGCGCTGCTGGCACTTCTTCAGGTGCTTCTCACAGATGATGTCTCTCCTTTCTCCAGCTGCCTCAATTATTTGTTCAATATTTTACAGCAGATACCTTGAACTCCTGCTCTAGATCCAGTTTCACTGCTTGTAAATACTGGACACAGATGTCACTTGGTAACTGCACACTGGTTGTTTTTGCCACAGCTGAGATTCAATCTGAGAAAGGAAACCCTACCTAGTATGGAAAGGGGCCATGCCCTCTAGTCAATGAGTGCAATAGGAGCTGATTGTATTATTAATCTTATAGCAATGACTTCAGGAAACACAATGTGTTTACTCGAATTGCACACTTTTTTTGAACAGCTGTAAAATAGAGTATATGTGTAAATATTGGCCACCACTGAAGAAGTATTTGTAATTTTAGCATATAAATATAACAGGCTTTTCAGTAGGCTTGATGATGCACAAGGCCATGCATTGAGCCCTCGGGTAATTCCAAAGTTGTAAATGTATTTGCTGTACAGAGGAAGTGTGTCAGTGCTTGCTGCTCCCAAGGAACCTCAGCTGCTGGTCCCTTTTGGAGACCCAGTGCTTTCCCCAGAAGGGCTGACTCCAGTCTGAGGGTCCAGCAGCTCACTGCTGCATGGAATGGCTTCCTTCATGTCCAGAAACGCTCTGCAGCCCGCAGAGCTGCCTGTCCTGCTCCTCAGCCTGGCCATTGGTGCTGTGCAGTGCCAGCCCCACGGCCTCCATGGACAGGGCCCAGCAAGGGAAGGGCAGGAAGCACAGGGCAGGCTGATGTGCCTTGGTGCTTCAAGAGACACTTGACACAAGCAATTTCCCAGCTACAGATTGAAGCAATAGTCACATTGGTGTCATCTCTAATGTAGTAGAGCTCATCTCTGCCACCCTTGCACACCGTTGAAGCAATCAGGGCACTGCTCCAGGCCAGCCTCCCCAGGCTGTGCTGTGTGTGAACACAAAGCCATTGTCTGCAGATGCCTCTGCTGGGCAGAACCCAGAGCCCAAAGGATCCTCCTGGGCTGCCCCACGGGCAGTGCTGGCTCCTGCTTTGGGGAAGCAGCACTCCAGGCTGCATGGAATGTATTTTTAAGAGAATAAATCTATTTTTTTGTATTTGTGAACATAGATATGGGTGGGGCAGCTTAGTTAGAAGACAAATAATGCAAGAAATCTTTTCATAATCACAGGTTCCTCGAAGTTAAGCAGATTTTCCAGGGTTGCAGTATTGCCTTTTCCCCTAAAATAAACTTTGTGTCCAATAGAGCTATGAGCAGTGTTCCACCCTCTTAGAACTTGCCCTGTCTCAGCATGCTGAGCAGAGGAAAGCCAGTGCTTTCCTCCCCAGGCTGCCCATGCAGTGGATACAGATGGTGCTCACCTCCTTCAGTGACACAGTGCTCTTAGTCTGCATGCCAAATGTAAACACACACTTATCTGCATGTCTCTCCTGACTCAAACACTGTCAGTGCTACAGTATATAACCAATAAACACTCTTTTTACATGGGTGTGATGTGGTGTTTACAGCTGAGCCCTGTTTACAGCAGTGCCCATTGCTTGGAGGTGCTGCTGCCCCTGAGAGAGAGTGTGTGTGTGTTTGTGTGTGTGTGTGTGCACAGAGGTGTGTCTGTCTGTCTCTGTGTATGTGTGCAGAGGTGTGTGTGTGTGGTTGTGTACAGAGGGGTGTGTGTGTCTCAGTGTCTGTGTGTACAGAGGGGTGTGTGTGTCTGTGTGTGTGCAGAGGTGTCTGTGTCTCAGTGTTTGTGTGCACAGAGATGTGTGTGTGTGTCTGTGTGTGTGCAGAGGTGTCTGTGTCTCAGTGTTTGTGTGCACAGAGGTGTGTGTGTGTGTCTGTGTACAGAGCTGTGGGTGTGTGTGTGTGTCTCAGTGTTTGTGTGTCTGTGTGTGCACGGAGATGTGTGTATGCGTTTGTGTGCAGAGGTGTCTGTCTCTGTTATGTGTGCACAGAGGGGTGTGTGTGTGTGTGTGTCTCTGTGTACAAAGCTCTGTGTGTGTCTGTGGGTGTGTGTGTCTCTGTCTCTGTGCACACACTGCAGGGTGGTTCAGTGTTGGAGCACCTTGTACTCAGTTTAGTGCTTGGTTGAGACAAATCTCACACACCCATTCCAGGCTGCAGTTCAGGCAGGGGTGGTGCATCCCTGTCCAGTTGTACACAGCCCCTCAACACTGAGGCTCCCTGAGCTGGAGCTGGCATTGCTGGGAATGGGGGGAGGAAGGGCACGACTGCAGAGTGCAATGAGTCACCACTGGAGTTCTTTCACACTCTGCCAGTATTGATTGTAACAGAACCAGGAGCCATTGGTCACCTCCTGGACAGTGGTGGCAGTACAAGTGACAGTCGCCATGGTTTCCAGCTGGGTACAGTGTGCAGGTAGATTGAGCACAGATACAATGAGTAGCTGTCACACACAGGATGGGCCCATATGACTGTAACTTGAAATACATTGATTTGCAAGGGGTGCACTATATAGAAAACAATTTTTGCCTTGTATGTGGTTTATTCTGATTGCAGAACCGGACATGTTTGCAGAAGCTTTATAAAAGGGGTTGTTATTATTATGGAGGGACAGTTAAGGAGTCATTCATAGGTGTCACTGCAGCTGCTGCTCCCTGGGTAGAGCCCATTAATGCAACGTGAAGTCCTACAGAGATAGCATTTGTTAAATATTTGTGTAAGAAAACTCAGTTTGTCTTGGCTGAGCCCTTTCTGTCCCAGTTCACAGAGGCAGCTACTGAACATCATTAAAGAGGGGGTTGTTGACCTGTAGCTACAAAAGCACTGCTGTGTGTGGCCTAAGAGCAGCAGAGAGCTGTAGCTGTGCCAGTGGTGTTATTCTCCAAAGCTGCCATGTCTGCTCTCAGTCAGTTCCAGGCTTACAGCTCTAGCACATACCAGAGGGGTTCTCTGCCTTGTGGTTCAAGAGCAGGCTCACCACTGCTACATGGGGACAGTGCAGGATGTGTACTGAACCAGTGGCCACCCACCAGGGCAGTGTTGCTCAATAGCCAGAAAACTTGGACTTTTTCCGAAACCTTTATTTCACTCTGATTTTTTTGATCAGTCACATGTGCTTGCTTCAGTGGGTTTAGGTGCTCCTCCTGTTGCCTACAAACAGGTGTGCTCTGACTGCTCCAGCTGCAAACCTCTGCTTCAGCTGCACCTGTGAGAAGGTTGCTGCTGTAGATCATTATTGGTGAGATGCTGAGCCAGATCCTGTTGTGCTGCCCCATGCCCAGGTCGTCAATCCTACTTGTGCTGAAGTTTCCTGCCACCCCCTTTGCTGGTTTCTTGGAATGTGTTCCCACCACCTGTGAGACATGGACCCTTTCTCAAAGACAAACCATAGAGAGGGCAGAGACAAATTACAGGCTAATCCCAAAACAGGTGGATATAATCGAGAATACAGGTGTCTGTCTGGGCAGGCCTATGCTATGTGAGGGGTTCTAGGAGCAGTGGATGTTTGCCACAAGCCTGGTGTCACAGGTACCAGGTGGACAAAGAGTGTCACCTGTTCTGCTGCAGGTTAAGGCAGAGGGTCACAGCCAGGCAGGGTTACTGTACCAGGAGTCAGCCCTGCCAGAAAGACACAACCATAACCAAGGCATTTGAGAGATTTCCCTACATGGGATGGCAGCTCCAAAGCAGGGATTTCCAGACTGGGCATGTCCTGTTGTTCCTCTCATCCCTGGTCTCCTGTTCTCTGGTAAGGTTTAAGGACAAGCACTGGCATTCCACTTAGATGCCCTGGGATGATTGTTTGTCTCCTCTGGGATGTTTAACACACCAGGAGCCATTCTATGGTTCCATGCACTGCCACAGGTGGTGAGCAGTACAGCACCAGACACACAGTTCACCTCAGGCCATTGGAACACGGTTCAGTACCTTTTCTTTTGTTGGAAGTATTTAATAGAACAGTATGCTTAGCATACTCAGTGATACCTGGTTACTCTACAGCAGGATGCAGATGGTGTAGCAGCCAATGGACCATTTTGGAGAGGTGTGATTTGCTGTTACTGGTAGGCAAACAGTTGGCCCAAATTCTTGAATGCCAGACAGGAATAGAATTGGTCAAAAATATTACTCTTCAAAACAAAGCCATAAAAAAACACAAAGAAATTTACATACATTCTACACTAAGCTAGTATTCATAGCAACCAGCTTCTAGAGGTCCTTGTGCAATTACCAAACTGTAAATACACACATAGGTAGAAAAAACCCCCCAAACACCCTAAAAAACCCTCCAGCTATTTTGACTTCCAAGAAGCATCTGCAGAGTCAAAGTCCCTGACCAGCTTTGCAGTAAAGGATTCTTTTTACCGACTCTTCCAAGCTCTAAGATTTTGTAAAAGGCTGCCAAGCCAAGGGTCTGGCAAGCTCCTGGGAGGCCATTTTCACACGAGGCTTGACAGTAACTCAGGGTCCTCTCAGCAGACACTGCTACAAACTACTCGAGTGTGTCCATGGCTGGTGTCCATCGCCGTGGGCGCGGCTCCTGTGTGTCACATGCTGGTGGCCTGCTGTGGGGGCACTCCCGGCGTGGGCTGGCGGGGCAGGGTGTACATGGCCCCCAGGAACTGGTCTGCGATGCGGCCGGCCTCCCGCAGCCCGCTCAGCAGCGCCCCGTGCACCGTGGCCGGGTAATTGCGGATCGTGTGCTCGCCCGCGAAGAACAACCGAGGGATGGGCTGCGGGAAAACGACAGCAGCGCCGTTAACTCGAGGCTTCTCGAATTCTGCAGCAAATGGTACTTTAAAAAAATGTCAGAAGGCCTCTAATCACAGCACAGTCTCTGTTGTGGTGCGTGTAAGTCAGACAACATTGAACCTATTTCAAGCTGTGTACAAATTAACGAGAAAATGAAGCTCTATTCGATAAGAAATGTTTGTGAAGCAGGGTCACGTCCCAGCTGTAACTGAAACTCTACAGCCAAATTGTCAAACGTGTTTAGGAGGAATACTTTCCAATCCTGGAACATGAACTCTAGCACAGTAAATAAACAAAAACTTCAACAACTCACTTAAATCAGCAGTTTCTCTTTAAACTGAGACCTTGAATAACTACCCACAGAATCATAAAAAGTGGGAGAAAATGTTCATATATTACATTTTGCAGGGAATCATTTTATTCATAGCTGTGTGTATTAATGACTTGTATCATTAGAACAAGAACTCAAATAAAGCCAAAGCCACACAGCCTTTCCTGGCACTGCTTTCAAACTTAATTCCCTCAACATGATCTGGAGATGACTCCTGCCTTCATTGTGCTGGGCTCCCATTTGGAAGAGATCTTTTGATTCCTGTTCTTCTCACTCTGGCCTTCACCCTCTTTCAAATCACTGCAACTCACTTAAATATGGTCATGGATAACAAAAATAGAGAGTACTAAACACAGGTGTAATATTAAATACTCTGTTCATAACCAAACTGGCTTTCTGAATAAAAATGCTTTCTTTAGCAAACAAGTATCACCAAACCTGTGATGACAGAATTCATGAGTGAAAAAACTAATTATTTCACAGGTTTTAATCATTCACAATAAGATACAAGTTATCTAAACTTGTATTTAGACAGCTATGTAAATTTCTCAGAAAAATCATTCTGTTTTGAGGTTTTTCTAAAAAATAACTGGGACATTTCTCACCTGTGGAGCACCTGGAATGGCTGGTCCTGGAGTGATTGGCTGAGCCATCAGGTCATAGTCATTTCCAGAGGAGCCAGCAGCTACATAGGAGTAGGAGCCCCTGGCCCAGGGGTCAGCACGCCAGCGGGACACCACGGTCTCCTTAGGCTGAGACAAGACACGAGCTTCAGTTGTTGACAAAGTGCAAATTCTACAGTTTGTGACAAACACAAACAAAGCAAATTGCAGCAATGTAAGGGACAAAGTCCCTAAGGGCTGACCTTAGTGGTGGAACTCCACTTGGTAACACTTACTAAGGTAAATCTTTGATGGCAATTCCTTAAATCTTTCCAATACATTACCAGACCCTAGTGCATGCAGATATCCTCAGCTGGAACTCAGACCTTTACAGCTGCTGTGTGTGTTCTGTTTCCTCTGTTTCTCCTCCCACCATTAACAGAAGGACAATGCACTCTCCCCTCTCCCTCAGCCCGAGCTCTACTGACCTGGGGCACAGCACTGCTGCCAAAAATGCCTTTGAGAATGGCAAGGCACCGACCAACAATGACATCATCACTGATATTCTCCATGATCCCTGCTGCCTCTCCTGCTACCAAGGCCAACAAAATCGGTGCTGGGAGAGGGTGGGAGAAAAAAAAAACCAACTGAATTATTGAAATTGAACATTTTGATAAGACAAGTTGGACTTGGACAGACATGGATCTGCAGTTAATCCACGAGGTTGGAGACTAAACAAATCCAACAAAAGTCGTCCTCAATTTTCCACCATCATGTCAATACAACAAAATGAATTTATATATGCCACGGTGCTACTTAGAATTATCAAGAGAACTGATGTATTAAAAAGTAAATAAATACATCAGGAATGATGTTTCAATGTTTCACAGTCTAACCACATTAACTACTACCCAACTATCCATGAGAAATGGTAATTGTGTTTCATTTCAGCCATCTGACTTGTGTTTCAACATGAGGTTTTACTGCATTTCTGTTTCATTTCCACCTGCTCTGCCTATCTTCATGAGAAGGAAGACTTAGAATTTAGCATGTGAAGCTAATTTGTACATGACATTATTTTCCATCTAAACCAAACCATGACCCTACTTGTTAACTATGTAACAGAGCCACCATAAAGCCACACAAGCCACATGAACAGCCTTGCTATCCAAGGCTCATTACTTATATTCCTCCAGTAAAATCTTACCAAACATTTTAATAATTCAATAGCCTAGAAAGGTACTTCCCTTGCACAGCAATTTTTTCCAGTTAACAGAGAAACCTGGCCTGCTTATGACAGAATGGAAGAAAACCAACTGTAAAACAACTCACCCATTTAATAATGCTCCTTATACACCTTTGCCTTTAGTCTGGGCAATGGCAGGAACAAAACCAGTACATTTACTGCACCAGCAGCAGATAAACCAAAACTACTGTCCTGATGTAGCAGTAATGCAATTGAACAGTCACAGCCTGGAACCCAGCATTAGTAAACTCCCACTTATCTGTGTGCTGCCCTAACCTACTACAGAACTGTCTGCAATCAGTGCTGCTCTTTGCTTCCATTTGTCTTCCTAAAAATCCTGCCTTCTTACCATGCCCACATGTGAACACTAACAGCATTTTTAAAAGTGTTTTTTTCCTAGATCTGAAACTATACAAGACACTGGCAAAAGCAGACATGCACCACAGCTACCTTTGTACAGGTTCCAAAAGAGGAAAAGTTCTCCTCTGCTTGCAGTAGTGCTCCCAACATGGCCAAACAAATTGACACTTGGATCCCAGAAAACACGATCAAAACACAACACAACCTAGAGAGAAAGAGTATCAACAGTTAGGAAGAGCACGGGGGAAAAATAAAAATAAAAATAAAAATAAAGACAATTACACTCATTGATGTTTATCACTGGACCATCATGAAAGGGAAATCTGGTGAATATACAGTGCATATAAATAATACACAGAGGCCTCCAACTGCCTTCCCACAGGTCACTGTGCTCTCAGAGCTCACCAGTTCTCTGGTTAACAAGTTCCACCAGATCTACTTCTGCAATTTAATTCTTTTAGGCCTGTGTGGGACATAGACAAGAGGCCCTTACAGTTCCTCAGACAATTTTCACCATCAAATCCTGGCAAAACAGCTGAGGAAAAGCTGTTTTTCTTCCTCACCCCCACTAGATCCCACCCACATGTCAGATTGTCTCTGTGACAGCCTCTGGCCTGCTGCAGTTCCCCCAGTGACAATGCACCTTGTTCAGGTTGCCAAATCCCATCCTCTGCACGGCAGAAGTTTTCCACTCAGGGAGAGGTGGCACGAACTGAACTGCTGGAGGCTGCTGTTTCAGCACTCCCAGGGGCAGAGTGCACAGCACAGCATCACATTTATAAATGAAGGTCTGGCTTGTAGATCGGGTATTCACAGCTATCACTTCACAGCCTGCAAAAGGGAGAGAAAATCAGTTTAATAGGCCAGGAGGTAAAAGCATTGGATTAAAAATTAAAGAAATTACCATAACCACATCAGAAATTATTTTGTTTATGGAGGCAGCTTTACACTAACTGTACTTAACTTGTAGGCACGTTGTTACTGGTCATTTAGCTCTATTCCAGGAAACACAATTAAGGGAGCATCTGAAAATGGCCTTACTGGGATAAGCCTAAAGGTTCATCCAGGTCAGCAAATATTTAAATATATCCATAAATAAACAACAAGTAGAGAGTGAGCCCCTCATTACATTGCTCTCCCAGCTGACAGTTTCCCAAGCCAATGTTTTGAAGAACAACAAAAAGATACATTCCCTTCCATTACATTCATTTATATTTCTAATACCAGGACCTGTGGCACCAAGCCTTAAAGCAGCCCCAGATCTCTTACTCCAAATGCTTCAATCAATGAAGTAAATAAATAACGTGAACAATCAGCAAATACATCTGAAAAAGACTGTGTCAAATGAGTCACAGAAATAATCAAAAAACCATTCAAGATTAAGAAATCTCTAGCAACTACTTATACAATCCTAATAAGAAACATGGCTGTTTATCTAACCCCAGACATGTATTGGGAGGGGTTGGACAATATCAGTCCTCACATATTTCCAGAAGCACTGAAATCTATTTTCTGTGTTCACAATCCCTCCGGGCAGTTCCCTGCAGGGCTCAGTACCTGATGCTGTGTAGCGAACCTGTCGAACTGCTGTGTTTAATTTAATATCCAAACCTTCTGCCAAGGCCACTGGCACACAGGAATATCCATTCCTCACAGTCAAGTGACTGCCTGTGAATTCAAAGTCATCATCCTAAAATGAAGAGGGACAAAAAGCATGCATTCATAATGGAATCCCGTAAATCAACAGAAAATAATCAACAACTCTACATGATGGCAAAAAATATTTCAAAAACTGATTTTAAAGAGTCAAATAAATGTGAAATTCTGATTATTTGTCAAGTAGTAAGTATGGAAACTTTCAGCAGACAGTGCTGTTAGAGATTGTTTTGGCACTAAGAAAAAGCTGCCTGGAATTTCATCATCAAATAATAATATGACATAAGAATTCAGTACCTGCACAAAAGCAGACACACCTAACAGAAACTCTTAAAATCTACTAACTTTCCTGAGAATGAAATAAACACAGTCCAAGTTTTAATGAATTGCTGAGTACTGACTACCTACCTGGTCCCAGTGCTTCAGTGAAAGTGTAGAAAGGGGTGTAGCATTAGCAAATTCTAGGTTTGCAAAATGCCAGTCAAGTATTTGCCTGTCTCTTGATGACAAATAAACATCACTAGAAAAAAAAAACAAATATAACACAAAGACATTTAGTTTGTTAGAACAGGATATTGTAAATACATTGCTTCTGAAAATTTCTTCAGAAGCCATTTTTGAGTCTCTCCTTAGTCCAGAAATAAAAACATTAAAAAATAATACAGATTCTGTTTCAAACATCTGGACCTCTCTCATGAAAGCTGTGTATCAAAACCCAGCAAATTCAGGTTTTTAAAGCAGACTTCATGTAAAATACTCAAAGAGAAGCTAAAAACTTCAGAAATAAAAAAGGTTACATTAATAATGGCTTAAGTAGTATCCATAAGGACAATAACAAAAAACCTAGTAAAATTGCACAGAATAATAATATTCTACCAATATAAGTAGGATTGTTTGCCATCATTACTGACAGATATTTAAAACCTCAAATGCCTTTTGAGATCAGGCACTGATTACTGCCAGGATTTCTACAGAACCACCTTTGCTGTTTGAGTCATCTCTAAAAATGAGGAAGTTGAGTTCTAAAGCTGAACTCAAACTCTGTGTTTGTACCTTTGTAACCCCTTGAGTTCCCATAATAAAAGCAAACCATAGCATTTTTGAAACTCAGGGAAAAGATAGTGAAAGAATTGCTTTCCTAAGTATTTATCCTTTTAAGTTTGTATCTTTACCTTGGTGGGTTGGCTTCAAGTTCTTGTAATTTCTCTTCCAGTTTTCCTTGTGTTTCTGCCAATTCATCATATTCCTATTAAGATTAAAAGCTAATATTAAAACCAGTTTACATGTAAAAGGACTTGAAGACATCAGGTAGCATCAGACTGGACCTAATCTCAAGAGAAATCCCTAGAAAAATCACTTCATGGATTTACTGGAAGTTAGGTCAAGTTTGTTATTTTTTTCAACATTTAATCCAGCATATTTTACTCTTCTGCTCTTTGTGTATACAGAGCTCTGTGTCACACTGCAGAAAAGATTAAATTCCTGAAATACCACCAAACTAAACACTTGAATTGAAGAACATGAGGGTTCATTACACTCCTGATATTTTAAGGTTCCTGTGGTTCTGAGAGCTTCATATTCCACAAACTATTCTTTCTATTCTCTCTCTTAAAAGTTTATAGCTAATATTGAACATGGAGATTTCCAAAGCAGAATCAATCATATGTAAAAACCAGACATGATCTAATTCAAGCTTCCTCCTATTTTAAAAAAAAGTAAGTAAAACTAGGTATAAAGTCAACAGCCAATAATATGGAGTGTCCAATAAAAGCAACAGGAGCTGTTCACTGGTGACAAAATAGAAGAGCCACTACTTCTGTATATACACATACAAACACACCCAGAGCTTGCAAATAAGGGTATATATCCTTGGTTTAGCAAGTAGCTGAAAAATGATCCTTGGTTCTACCAGACCCGGGTTAGAATCCAGAATCACCATCACAGATAGAAGAGTTGTTACAGTTTCCTTTTTAAGGGACATCTTTACATCAAGATATTCCCAGAGAGGGGAAGTAACTCTGCTTGTCAGGGCAGAGCTCTGTATATGATAATCTTTGGATAGAAATAAATCTTTTAGTTAAGAAATCACCTTTATTTATCTTAGAGAAAAGAGATCTCTCTTCAAATGCAGATTTTATTTCCAGACTATTGTGAAATCCAGCTGTATTAAAGACCACAAATTCATCTTCAAAACATTACATGCTGTCTGACATGAGCCAGCACAAACTTATTTAAAACTGAGCTTTAGTATTCCCCAGCTAAAGGTACTCAGTGCAGACCTATCAGTGTTAGAACCCAGAGTTACTGTCAATCACATTGTCCTGAAAGCACTGGAGCACAGGGACAGATGTGGATTTTTATAGTGGCTGATTGGATGTGGCTGCTCAAGTCCTGAGGAAACACTGGCACACCACATGTTTGACATCCTGTACCTTGCAAAGAGCAGTCAGATCTCTGTGCTTGCTTTTCACAAGGAACTCTGCTGTAATATCCCGGGGTGGCTTCACTTCTGATGCTTCCTTATACTGCTGATGAAGTTCTTTAATCTTTTCCTTTAAATTCACCATCTTTTAAGACAGAGCAGAAAAAAGGAAGAAAGAAAAAAAGAGGAAAAAATTACGAAAGGCAGATTTCAACAAGTTACTATGTAAACTGGATATTCACCTCAAACGATGCCATTATAGGAAAGATTTTCTGGTTTTGGCAGCTATCACTGATATATGCAAGAAGCCACAGTAAATACCACCAACCCTACACAACATGGCTGAAACTCAACAGCATTGATTTCTTACTATGTTGCAATTAATTTCAATTTGAGAAACTCCCATAGAAAAGTAAAGATGTCATTTACCATGAGCAAAAATAACCGAAGTAATCCTAAACCATTATTTCTGTACTACAGATCAGATGTGTAGTGAAGACAGCAAACATTTCTAAATAGCCCCCAAAAGCCTCAGCCAGTATCAGCATTTCTAAAGGAAGCTGTGAAACATCACAGTTTATCATGCCTGTCCCCTGCCTTCCTTTTCCTGTATTGTTTTATGGTTTTCTGCCTAATCAATTTTTCTCCTCCTCAAGCAGGAGACACCTTTGTCCTAACAGGGCTTCTAAGCAGGTCTTAAGCAAAGAGATATTTTTAAGAACAGCATTAATAGCAACTTTCTGATATTATTCTTTGGACATTTTTGTAGGTTTTTCCACTTTCTGAAGAAAACAATGCTTATGTTGTTCTAAATGTCTCATCTGACCTTGTTAAGAAGATCTTTCAGTTCCTCCTGCGTTTTCACAATTTTTTTCCAGTGCTCAATCTGCTCATCCTTCACATGCTTCTCCTGCAATCTGGAAAAGGTGAGAAGTGAGAGTCAGGTCAACATAAAATCCTCGTGTTAATGAGAAAACTTATTATCACAATCTAATTAGTGGGACACAATAAAACCGTATGTCATGGGATATTTTAGTAAATACTTGTATGACAATTGGAAAATTAATGCAAGTTTCTGTAAATAAGGGATCCATGACTAGCTAAAATGTGAGTGTGAAGTCACCTTTTGCTATTAAAGGGCCTTACAATTGCTTTCAAGCAGTGTTAGTGCATTGTTTGGACAGCAATCACACCGAGCTGCTGTAGCAATGATTTTCAGGAAACTTTCAAGAGAGGTTTGGTCCTTTAACCATCTGTGAGATCAAGCAGCTGTATTAAGAAGGTAATGCTTACATTTAGGAGCACCAGAATTATTTCAGGTATCTTTTGGAAATTCACCCACAAAATAGGAGAGCCTACCAAAAAGAGAGAAGTCACTTACTGTATGACAACCTCCAGAGCCTGACCTAGGGAGACAGGCTTATTATTGAGGACATTAAAATCCAGCTGATGACTGAGATAGGATGTGGCTTCCAGCAGACGATTAAATTCTTGCTCCACCATTTCATCTTTCTCTTTGGGAACCTAGGAGACAAAAGAACAAGCATTGTTCTTAACCCATTTATAAAAAATACAGTTGCTGAGAATAGCCCTTGAAAAAAAAAGTTCAATACCCTCAGCTCTCTCAAATGATCAGACATCAAGGTCTGTACAACACAATGTCACACTTTGCCAGGATGGGCACAAGAAGAGCTGTCAAACCACAATGACAACAGACTTCTCTTGCAAGAGAAACCAAACTGCCTTATGGGCTCATAAGATTTCCTTACTGGAAAGAAAGGTGTGTTCATCAAAGCTACAGAAGCTTGCCAAAAGACTCTGATGGCAGAATGGCTCTACACAATCACAAGGCTTCAGAGGGCTTGGCATAGCTCAGTGAAGGAGACACACAGGAATTTATCTTCTGGAATGGTCACTGTGAGTAAGAACTAGCAATCCAGCTTTTCTAGGATGATGGTGGAAACACTGCTGGACACATATGGAATGGTGGCATTTAACTGTACTGATGATACTCAGTTAAATAGTGAGTGCTGCCAGTGTGAAAATACCTGTTACATGATGAGAGCTCAAGTGCTGGAAAGAGCAAACCTCACATCTGTTAAACCGCGCACGGGTTAAACAAAGGACAGAGAACTTGGCTTCCACAAAACCTCTGAAATGCAAAGGTAAAAACTCATGTGGAAAGAGCAGGTTTTAGAAAAATATGTGCAGGTATGCTACAATATTACTAAATTGCCTAAAAAGGGACACACACTTTCCTTCCTCCCTCTCTCTGGAAGCCATCTCATGCTAGACCAATAGACTTGAGATATTACTTCTTTTTTTAAAAGGTTCATGGAAACAGTGTCAGACTTACAGCTTGTCCATTTGCTTCATAAAGTGGACATTTTTGTTTGATCTTTGCTAATTCCATATTTACTTGTTTGCTGACCACAGCCATGGGATTTCCTCCTGGAAAAGATTTTATATAGTTAACAGGGACTCCTGTAAAATTTGTCTGCAATTAAACAAAAACTCCATAGTTAAAGCAATTTCACAGACTAGAACACCAACTCCAGTGTATGCATTCCAGTGACCTCGTGTAACACTGCCAAAGGTCTGCACTTCACAGTGATTCCTGCAATGAGAACATGGAAAAAAACCAGCCCAGCAAATACCTACTTGTGGTATCTGAAGGGGTCCTACAGGGAAGCCAGAGAGGGACTCAGCATCAGAAACAATATTGATGTGACAAGGGGTAATGGGTACAAACAGAATGGGGGGAAGTTTAGGCTGGATTATTAAGAATAAGTACTTTCCTGTGAGGGTGGTGAGATACTGGAACAGGTTACTCAAGGAGGCTGTGGATGCCCCAAGCCTGGCAGTGTTCAAGGCCAAGGTTAAACAAGGCCCTGAGCAACCTGGTCTAGTGGGAGGTGTCCCTGTCCATGGCAAGGGCAACTGGCACTAGATGATCTTTAATGTCCCTTCCAACCCTTAAGATTCAATGATTCTATGAATTAAACATAAAAATATTACAGTCTTTCAATAGGCAAACTGATATCTGTTTTTTCATGACTGTCCAAGTTCAGTTCTTTGTCTGGAACCAGTTTCTGTATGCAATTTAATGAGACTAATCACGAGACAGACACCAAATTTAGATCATCAGTAAAGACTGGAGTTTGTTATAGGTTTTACAGTATTTTATCGTTTCAGTACTTTGCTGAAGGATATTCCACACTAAACACTTGCCTATCTTCTTAGCAGAGTAACCATGTCAATAATTGATGCCATCCCATAAGCCAGTAATTAACAGGAAGAAAATTGCTTTGTTTGCCATTATTTTTACAACTATTTTTGAAATCACGTGGAGAAAATACTTTTGGGGTTTAAACTCTGAAGATCTTTCTCTTTAGAATGCCTCTGCTCTTCCCCTCCTCCCATGTAAACTGAAAGAATACATTCTGTGTCTTTAGGGTCTCTCTGATCATATAGCTCTGCTATTTATGAAAACTACTAACTGCCAAAAAGGCTGAATGAGAACACACACTTTTAAAGAGTTACAAATACCCATGTATTTTGGCCATGAAAGAAAATAGCATGAAGGTTTCACACTGACAGCATCTTGCCCCCCAGTTCTCCTCCCTGAGGAAATCAAATCCCTTTTTGATTTTGAAAAACTCACCAAGTCCTGTTACCACCATTGCTCCCAGATCAGCAACATAATTCCCTTTGCGAAATGTGGCAACTCTGCCTCCTACTCGGTCCTTTGAAAAGCACAAGATTTGAAACCTCCAGTTACATTCAGTAAGACACCTCACTGAAATATCATCACTGAAACATCTACAAAACATGGTACAAGTATTCTCTCAACTGAAGGTTCAATAAACATAATGTACCCTTTTCCAAAAACCTCTGCAAATGAGCTCAATCACAATTAATTTGTCTAAGTTAAGGAATAAAATGCTTAAGTAGCATTTAAAAAATGAGAAGAAAAGAAAAAAAAAAGAAAGAAATAGAAAAAAAAGTTGCCTAATCTGATTTGGGCAGATTTCACTATTTCTGCTGTAGGATCCACTGTGATTCCAAAGCCAACCCCTTCACTGTCCATGCACAAATTTAGTTATGTACTGGATTTCCCCCTCTCCCTGATGCCTAAAGATTTTTAGCTTTTTATATATTTTTCATATATTTATAACTTTGTAGACTGTCAATACAGTTATAACTTCTAGTACTTTTCCTGCCCTAGTTTAACAATCTATTAATAATACACTCTTGAAATTCTCCTGAAAGAACAAGCAGCCAGTTCACATACCACAAAATGTAGCACTGATTTTAAAGTCTCATTTAAGCACACAGTAATAAAGAATTAATCTAGGTTTAAAATCCCACCTAATGTTGTATGGCAGCTCCAAGCTATGATTATATTTAACAAGCAAGCTCTCAAACTATGGACATGAATTCTGCTTTCTGATGAAAAATCAATTTCTAATCGTGAAAGAAGGTTGTTCTGAGCTGTTCCTGGTGTAAGCACTCGACACCAGCACCTGATTATCCAGCCCAGCTCTGAGAAAACATCAGCCAGCCCCAAGCAGGAAGAGATGCACTCAGCTCCTTGTGAGACAGGTTCAGGATTCACCCTGACTGCCTGGAACACCACACACACACTGAGCCACCCTGAGGATCTGCTGGGCCACAGCCCTGCCCTGAACTGGACACGGTTACTGGGGAAGTTGCCATATAGAAGTAAAATAGCACAGAAATTCATACTCTGGCTTCCAGAACTGTGACATCCATTCCAAAACTCTGCAACTGGCGAGCTGCTGCCAACCCAGAGACTCCAGAACCAATAATGATCACCTTTCCTGTCTTCTTGGCTAAAGAAAGAGAAAAATCAGTTTCAGTCATTTTATATGTGCAGTACTAAAATGCAAACAGTCGTGTTAAAGTTGCAATTAAGAGATACCAAGAACAAAAAGTTTTCTTCTCATGAGTAGTTCTGACAGAACAAAATCTTTAACAAAAAGAAAACTGAAGTAATTCTGAACATATACTGAGACAGGTACAAGGAAAATACACTAGCAGTACATCTGGAACAAGGAAGAAAACAGGAGAAAAAATGCTTCCAGATGACTGTGTGAAGAAAGCAATTCATATTCATTATTGGGGACAAAGTATCATAGTTTGATTTCCTTCTGCTCCAGAAGAATAAAACTTAATAAGGGCAGAGAAGTTCACTTGCAAAATTCAAGAATCACATAAGCATGTAACAGATCTAAGTACAATATTGTGCTTCTGACTTTATTTATTCAAATGAGGAACCAAGATAACTCATTAAAAAGCAACAGTCACTGAATTATCTACAGAAGATTTGCCAACATTTTTCCCTCCCAAAGTGGTTTATGTAAATACATGGTTTCTCTATGCCAAAATAAAACACATTAACATCAATACTCAGATGGCTTTCCAGCCTTTTTTTATTTTCTTAGCACTGCAATTCTATAAAGAGCACTCAAAAAACAGCCCTAAGAAATCATGGAACAATAAAACAAATCTTCAATTAGAAACAACGTTCAAGATTCTTACTTGGAAGGGGCTTCACTCTTTTGTAGATCCCAAAGTTAATCAGCCCATGACGTTCCAGGTAGCTGTGAACCCTGTGAACGAGCACTGTGTCACCTAAAACAATGTGAAAAGTTTCAAAATGATTCTGTGTGTTCAGCAGCACACATGCACTGTACATTCACAGCAGCAATCTGGCCAAGTCCCACCAAACACATCCTGCCCCACAGCTCTGCTGCTCACTGATCCACTCATCTTTTCTGAAAAGCTGGATTGCAGTTTTGAATCCTGCCTGAAAAGCTGTACAGGACACAAGGTGCTTCTTTTCATCTTTTCTGCAACTGACTGCAAAATCCCAAGATCATGACACAGAAGTGTGATGTGATTTGCTGGTATTGTGCCAATACTTACTGCAGCACTGAATTCTCATTTTTATTTTTAAAAACAAAATATTTCATAATCCTTAACAGTTATATTTGCATCCATTTCAGCACTATTTTCTTCTTCAATTTATTTTATGGCTACCCTCCACCTTTTTCCAGTTTGTTGGGATCTTGTGTGAGAAGTGTGCAATGGTCTCCATTTGCAAGCAGTAACTCCTCACTCCTTTACTGCCTTTTTGCATCACATCCAGTCTGTTTAAGTCTTAAAAAACCCCCCCAAACCCATATGATTAATAATGTTTTACAGCTGAAAACCACCAAGAAGCTGTAGCAAACTTTAAAAGCTGCACATGAATTAACCCTACTGTAACAATCCATCTTTTTAGCAGCTTTTATGAACCCTGCTAGTGCTGTATTTTTTACCAAACAATGAACTCGACCAAATCTGAACTATGAGTATAATGCATTCTCCCAGTCTGTGCACAAACACTCATGGAGCTCCACTAACAAAGGACTGCAGCATCTGAAGCAGCTTTTCCTCAAACCAAAGTGAAAGCAAACAGCAATGATACACACAGCACGATCCTGGCAATGAAAAATTTGACTTACTGTTATAAGGTGCTTCCAACTGTTGGATTGTTGCTTCAAATGTCAGCTGAATCTTTGGGTTGTCCAACCAGAGCTGCAGCTGTATTTAAACAAACAATGCAACATGTCACCCTGAGCAATAACATCGAGGTGTTTTCCAGGCACGTGTCTGATACCAAATATTGTCAGGAGATGAAACCCCAGAATGAATTAAACTTTGGCAGGACTACCCAAGCCACACTGACCTTCACTGTTCCTTAAGGTGCAAAACAGTCTGTTTGAAATTCTCACACCATTTCAAATAAGAAACACACCAAGGTAGCACCAAGATGTGTGTGGCTGGCAATGTCAGTCAATTGTCTTTTAGGCATCAGATTTCATGTTTTCATAAATCTACAGCTGCACTTCTCACGTTATAAGGTTTATTTATCTCTGACATTTAATGATCCAATCCATCTTCACCAATGTAAGACATGACCATGGACTACACTGGCTACATATACACAAAAAAGCATATTTACAGGACATTTACAGTTCAAAAAATCGAGCAGGAAGAATTTTCTGTGATATGTTAGTAGGTCAATTCATACTAGAAAATAACTGCTTTCCCAACAAAATTCCTACTTTGTACCAGAGAGGCAGGAGTTAATAAATAATTTTACTGTTCCATACTAAGATCTAGGTCATACATAGCATTTCCACTCCATTTTGCATTCCATAATTAGTCATTTATTTGGGTATTTCTTTAGAGTTGCATTATACTCAGCTTCACAGTCCCTCACAGATACCACATTAAAGTGGAAATCCTACAACTACAATGAATAGGAATGATTAAGAAATCATTTCCTTAGAATTTGGGAGGCTATTTGATGCAAATGGCTCCTGAAGAGGCTGCACACTGTGTGATGGGTTCACATCAGCTGTTCCTGTCTCTGCTGTTCTCACTGGACTCTTCTGGCTTCCCCTCACAAACCTTTCTCAAACAGGATTCCTGCTCAGGAATTTCTTCAAGTTCCTCTGAGGCTCTCAGACCAGCAGTGCTGCTTTTCCCTGCAAGTATCTCTCTCCAGTAATTTCTTAGTTTCAGTGGAAGGCTTTTCTGCTTCCAACACATTTCTGAAAGGATTACTCACTATTCATTTTGTGCAAATTGTTTTCCAAATTTTTTGGCATGGTCTGGCCTATTTTTACACCTCTCATGACTTCCCAGAAGCTACAATTTGAATTAGAAGAAAATTTTACAGGAATAGCAGACGTCATGCTCTTAGCATGAAGATCTCCACCACACATCAATTTTAAATAACTTCTCTAAGTTATTAAGCACTGGGTGTTATCATAGTCAATAACCCATGATGTTTCTTTATCATCTTTAGTCTGTGAAAAAACTGAGTTGTGCATAAGGTGTTTTGTCTCTTAATTATGCTAACACAGAAATTTTCAACACATTTCTTGCTTTCCTACTGTAATTTTTCAAACATGACTTCAGTTTTCCAAAATACAGGAGAAAGCCTTGATCCCTGTTTTGGATGTTGTAAATACACCACAAATTCTTTATGCTGCTCACAGCACTGCTTTGATCAAGAACTGGACAGCACATTTCTTAACAATTTAAGAGCATGACAGAAATGAAACCCCACTATCCCAAAACCAAAAATTCCATCAACTGCTAGACATGATAACTGCAAGGTACACCAACTCCCTACCCTTTTTTCAACAATACTTTTACAACAAACTTACAGTGCGGTTCCTGATGTACAGAAACACCTTCTGAGTCTGCTGTGGCCCACTGATGATATCAGGGAAGCAGGCAGCTTCTTGGGATGTCATTCGGTCATGTGGAAGTCTGCTCTGGAAAGCTGCACCCTCCACACCTACAATAAAAACACAAGTAGTCTACAGGCACTGCAGAGGAACACCAGCCTTCCCAGCCAGTGCTTTCAGCCAAGAGATGATACAGTGGTCAATTTAATTTTTATTTGCTTCTGTAAGACACACACTGGCTTCCAAGTCAACAGTTGTTTGAATTACAGGTATCCAGAGATAATGAAAAAACAAAAATGAAAGCAAACAAAACGCCCCAAAAAACAAAGCCAGGAAAATATCACATATCAATACATTACATTTAACACACACACACACGTATGTATATGTATTAACAATAAAACAACTATTTTAGATGCTGTCCTTAATTTGTGTGCTTTCCATTTTTTAACAGAATCAGAAAACCTTTTTAGAACCTGTTCAAAGCCAAAATATCTGTAACATACAAGCACAGCATCTACCATCCCCTCTCACCTGCTTCTCAAAGTTTAATTTGCACTGACCTTCACCAGCTAGAGGAACTCACCTTAAACTCTCATTTTGCATATCTGATGTATTTACAGCACACAGTGCAATGAAATACAATCACACTTATGCATTTCCTGTGCTCTCTCCCCAAAGTGCTGCCTACAACAACAGATTTCCTTCTTTTCTTTTTCAATGTAAAAGATTGATGCTGAACCCATACAGGAGAGGTTTTCTCTAAGCAAAGCCTTCATTCATACAGGAACCTGCATTCCACCAATTCACACTGGCAGTGATGTAACTACATTCCTGTACCCTGCCCTCCTCAGTCTGTTCTGCTGCACTATAGAAAAAGTGACAAACTAAGACACAGCTGCATCCAGTGCTACAGCACAAGTGCAGAAAGCAAATCCTTCAGGCACAGAGAGAAAAACAAAGTACTGAGATGTGAAATACAGCAAGAAAAATATAAATCTCCCATGTCCTAGAAGTGACTTCGATCAGGACAGAGGACAAGGTGTTCAGTCTAGAAAGACAGAAGCCAATACATCCCAGGGGCAAAAAACCCCACAAGTATGATTAAGATCACTTGCTGAAACTGGAATTGCTCAAAAGACTACAATAAATAGCAAAGTAAATATAAGTTTGCAGGGTGTTACACTCATCAAGACAACTGTTGAAGAGTTTGAAGTTCATGTATAGCAATACATGTCACTGTACCAGGGAGAGGAGTTCCCTGCTTTTCATTCTGGTGCCATCACACACCCCTTTAACTTTCAATCATTTTTACTTCCCAAAGGTGCTGAAAAAAAATCAAGGAAGGAAATGGGGTTGTGAAACTAATAAAAAAACCCCAACCAAAACAAAAACAAAAACCCCAAAACAAACGAACCAAAAATAACCACACAAAAAACCCAACCAACCAAACAAAAAAAAACCCACAAGAAGAAAAAAAACCCCCAAACCCCAAACCAAACAACAACAAAAAAATGAAACAAAAATCAATCATCCAAAAAAAACCCTCCCACAACCAAAAATTCATTTACAAGTAAAGATCAAAAGATCTGTGTGATGACTCAAGGTAAAGAGAACTGTCTGTAATCAATTACACAAATTTTACAAAGAAGAAATTAGTAACAGAAGCTAGAGAGCACTGCAAGGAAAATAAAATTAACCAAAGGAGAAGTTGACACTCAATGTTTCCTGCACTAATATTCAGCTATGGAATAGAAACTCACAGCTCTATTAGGACTTATTAGTCCTAATTAGTTTATTAGGACTTCAATTTCTCCAGCTACCACCATCCCCCAGCCCTTCTGCTGCCCTTCCATCTAACACTGCCTCAATGTGCCAACATCTGTGTAGGAATGCACGTGCTCAGCTATGAATTCTGTAAAACTGGGCATGGAAATCAAACCAGTTACCAATTCTCTGATACTTTATTAATGCTAATAATCTCAATTAAGGTTCTAGATCCTCAAGTGCTAGCAAAAAATCTCAGCAGCACGATTTTCAGAGAATGGTCAGGTAAAGACCTGAAATGCTGGGGCTGATTCCCCCTTACAGGTTTGTGCTAAAAGAAGAGTTTCTCCAGGAACCTGCTAAAAAGCCATGCAGTCATCAAACACCAGCAAAACCTCAGATGTGTGGATTTAAGGCAACTCTGCAGTTTCTTTAAAAGGTTTGGGATTTACTTCTTCAAAGTGAGGAGCCACAGAACATGGTGCTGCTAACAGTTTTGAGAAGAACTCCCAAGGTGGGTTGACCTGGGGGGCCTTTAAGGCCACGTACCTTCCATGGAAATACCCAAACTTTAAAACTACAATAACAGAGTAGCTCAAGATGAGCAAAGGTATTCAGTTAAAAAAAACAAATAAACAAAAAAATCAACCAAAACAACTAATAAAACAACCCACAAGAGCATTCCAGACAAGAATTTAGAAAAAGCATAGCTATTAATAGCAAAGATAGCGTTTTTATTTGGCCAACCACTGGAAGATGTTAGAAGAACTAAATGTCCTTGAATTTACTTCTGCAAGTACACAGCTCAGATGTAAATGGATCTGGATTTCAGGCTGACTAAATCCCATTTCACACCCTTACTGCTTGTATTTCATGAAAGCCACAGATGACAGGGATTACCAGTTCAGAACTACGTGTTTCTCCTTGGGAAGGTTCTGCCTAGACTGGATTATCAGCTCCTCTTCACACACATTTCTGCACACACTTGCCCATTTCCTGACATTCAGCACTAGCAACTAATTGGCTGAAGTTTTGTGTATTGAGTTTCTTTCCCACAGAAGAAATCCTGAGGGATGCTGCTTATTTAAAGAAAACATCTGCAGATGAACACACTGAATGAAAGGATTTTGGATGTTGAATTGGACAGTTGTTAGAGCATACTCTCAGCATATAACACAAAATGCAAAATATGCAGAATTTCCAACCTAAAAATGAAATAGGCAATGCATCCTTAAGCCCATGAGCCATAATAGCCAGCAGTTCCATGCAAATGGTAACATCCATAACAGTATTTGGCTCCCTTACTTACAACAGCAAAGGATGCACTCTGAGATGAGTACCTTGAAGTTCTATTTGCTTCAAAAAGAGCAACTTGGAGGTACAGAATAGGTTCTGGAGCCTTTGACTCTTGTTTAAAACCCTAATCCTGAGGTGAGAGCAAAAGCAGCAGAGTTGGAGGAAGATTTTAAGTAGCACTCCAAGTACTTAAGAGTAAAGACACCAATGAATGAAGCAGTGAGTGAGTACTGCCAGCAGCAGGACCAAGGCCAAATGGCGAATGCAATTCACAATCCAGTCCAGTGAGCAGCAGACAATCTCCTGGGCTAAGTGCTGGCACACAGGTCAAACACAAACCCTTTCAAAAGACAAAAAGAAAGGAGCAAAAAGATACTCCATGCTATGTTTCTTCAGCAGATTAGAAAAAAAGGGTGGACTGTTCTAAAGCTGTCTGTGTCAATCTGGGTGGTACAAACTGGCTAGGAAAGAAACAGCTTTCTGTATGTTTAGACTCCTCTGACCATGGAGAGGAGTGGAGGGATGAGAGATCGGCCTGAGGCATTTCAACACAGGTTAGCTAGTGCCCTTTTCCACAGTTATAGACCTCAACTGCAATCTGAATAGCCCACACTTTCTAAACAGGAGGGTACACAACTCCTGCATCTCTTGCTAAATTGGGGACAACCACACCCATGCGCACTTGCAAGCATCAATCCCTAACTTGGCGGCTCTTGCTACTCAGTGGCAAGCATCAAACGCCACCCTCACCTGATGCTTGGCCGTCTCCATACCCTCCAGAACTGTCGTCTTGAAGTCCTCCTGCCTGCCCTGTGGAAGGAAAGAGGAGAACTCAGGGACCTTACTCCATAAGTTAAACCATACTGGACATAAAGGCCCGGCAGTTGGCGTTTTAGGTATTAAATTTCACCAACTAACTAAACCCATTTTCTGAGAATCCCATCCTCTGGAACCTAGGTTCAGGGCACCAAAAAATTATGTTCTAAAGTGTGATCCAGGTTACTGGAACGCTTTACGTCAGATTTTATGGGAAATAAAGAAGTACACCATATGTAGCATTCCTGGTGGCTAAATACTTATGATCTGGCAGATGGATACCATCAGATTCTATGGATCTCAAACCCTAAGAATTTGATAATCTTGCCTTTGGTGCTCCCAAGTCTCCCCATACCCCAAGGAGATAGTTTAAAGCATTTTGGAAAGCCTCTTATATTCAGGAGACCCTATTTTTTTTCCCCATAAACCCCTGCTTTAAGCTTGATGCTAAAACAGTTCTTGAAAGGCTCAGACCACTTATTTTGGCTTCAGTACCCTTGATACACCATCAGTGTTCTAGAACACTAAGACTGTCTTTGAAGCCAAACACACGTCATCCCATTGATCAGTGATGTGATCAACACCCAGCACTGAAAGACATCAGTCTTTCACCATTCCCAGCAGTGGAAACATGAGGAAAGGCTAAGCACTCATCTGAAAGATCTGAAGAAGTCTCAGAATTACCTTAGCCCGCATCTCAGTCCCAAACAGGACTGCAACACAAACAGAAACAGAGCACGTTGAGAAGAGAGATGAGCACAGCTGCAGTGTCTGCAGGAACAAAGCCATTACACACCTCACACACTGCTCACTTCACAGGAGACACCAGCTCTGAGCTGAGCTCATGAGCAAAACTCTTCCACCATCAGATGTCTGCCTGAAGTGCCATGAGCTGCAGAGCTCAGGAAGCCATGGCACACTGCAGAGGTGGCCCAGTGCTGCCCACCTGGCTCCTGCTGCACAAAGGCTCCTTCCAACCACACTCTCCAACAACCAGCAAGCCCAAATCAACGTGCACTGGGACACACTGCAATGGTCCCTGGAATGGAACAGCTGCTTCCTAGAGCACAACTGTTCAGGTGCAATCTCCAAACAGGTAAGAGCAAGGTCTAACCTGAGGCTAAACACACAATTGTTAATACCCTTTAGAGTCTGGGTGGACAATTTTGCTAGAATGTAATGTAAGGCTAACTGAGAAGAATTTCATCTGAGCTACAGATTTAACCCCTAAAGCAAGACACAGAAAGTTAAACAATGTTTCCATACTGTGCTAAACTGGATTAATCTAGAATGCCACAACATTAAACATCTACAGATAAAACAAAATAGGAACTGAAACAAGACAGACATTTTCCCTCAGTACAGCACAGAAGCCATAGTTAGTACTTGTATAAAATTAGTCTGTCAGCAGGGAAATAAAAAAAACCTCATGGTAAGACTATGACAAATAATTGTATTTTGACAGGCCTCACAAGACCCAAGTTATGATTCTGTGAATAAACATATCTGCAACAGCAAGACAGAATTCTTGACTTGATCTACATTGCAAGTACTTTATTTTGCAGGGAACATTTCAAGATTTGCTTCCATTCTGGGAGAGACTAACACAATTGAAACATGAATTTTTAGAGTCAAGCATAGGCCATTAATTTGCAATAAGAGTTTAATCTGTGCCTTCCATAAGTTAAGAAATTAAATAGATTCTGACTTCAGTCTATTCATAATCCCTGAATTAAAACTGACAGTGAGCAGAGAGGAAAAAATTGCTCTCAGCTTACAGAAAGAAATCAGAATCTTCCTCTTGTCATCACTATTACTGATTGCTTGGACACAAATCTAAATATTCTCAGTCTGAGCAGGGAAATGTGGAAACAAGGCCTGCTAGGGAAGGTTGCCTCTCCTTCCCTGGAAGAAAGGTTCTAGCTGTAAAGGAGCTAGCAGCAAGCAAACTGCTGATCCCTGTTAACATCAAACTACTGCAGCCCAACAGAACGTGTGAGAGCAGAATCTGCTCAAAGGCAACAGAATAACAGACCATGAGCTGAAGAGCAATGAGGAAGAAGGTCCACAACACAAAGGAATCTACTTCATGTCTCAAAATTAAGAATAGCTGCACACAAGTATCACAGAATACTGAATTTATTTAGGAAAACAGACAAGTCAGATAAAATAAAGAGACAAAGCATCACTAAGTTTGATAATTCCCTTGATCTTAATATTGATAATACTCGGTTCCTTGGCAAATAGTACCTAAAAATATAGGATTACCACAAAGTAAGAATACTGACAACACTAAAAGGCCAGGAGATAGTAAAGAAAATCTTCTGTAGTCCGAAAAATGAAAATCCAATTTGGTGAGGAAAAACAAAACAAAGATTCTTAGAGGGGGAAGAAAAAAAAAAAAGAAAACAAAGAAGCAATCTCCTTGATTCCAAAAGGGATACTAGCAATCAAGAACACAAATGTCATCAGTCAGCACTGAAAGGGAGTTTGGAAAGTTTTTGCTATTAGACAAATATTCCTCAAGCAAAAAGAGAAGAGGTACTTTAAGAAAATTACCTTAACCATGAAATACTGTCCCACCTTTTAAAACTGCTCTGCAATAGCATGCAGCATACCTTACAAATCCAGACTGTAACAGCCAAAACACCTGGAATTCCCCAAGCTGAACACATGAATGGAACCTACTGAGGGAAGAGCAGCACTGTGCTGTCACCTGTCTGTGACACTCAGTAATCCCCTTCACTGCCAGCTGTCTGTAGGCACAGGCTGAGGAAACACCACACACTGGCACCAGCACATTTTGGAGCTGCACCATCAGGTTTTTCAGCTCAAAAGCTGTCATGTGACAACTTTATGCTTCTACTGCATTACCTGCATTTTTACAGGCTTTAAACACAGAAATTATTTTTTTTAAGGTCTGCAATGAGAATAAATTAACAGTAATACTCAGGCTAACTAAAATTTTCCTAGATTTTCAGTATGCAATCCTACTCTAGTGTTACTGTCCAATTTAATATTTCTTATTGGACACTTCAATTTTTCCTTCAAAGTGACAGAGAGAGGGGAAACCTCAATTATAAACACTGCTTTTATACACAGCACTCCATGCTGCCTCCTCCTTCTAAAGGGTGGCTGAATTAGAAGTTTCAATGCACTTTTAACAGCCAGCATAAGATGACCTGATGTTCTCCCCACCTATATTAATAAAGACAAAAACAGAGAGATCCACAAACATATGTAGTCTCAAAAACCTTTAAAATTACAGCAAGACTAGCTACAGAATGACAGCTTGAAATGTCTTCTTTCTACTTTATTGCTTCATGCATATTCACAGAATTTATAGGAATAGAGAAATTATATGATGACCTGAAATCTACTCATTTTTAGGCAGCTAGATACAGCCTGCTTGAAAATTAGTTTTATTTAAATGGCTGAACACAGTCCTTGCAAAATAACTGTCTAACAGGCTGCTGTGTGTATAGAACAGCATGACTCAAAAGTGCTCATCTTCCAAGTTTCTTCCTTCATGGGACAAAACCTGTTCCACTGTACTTCACTGATTATGTCTCAAACTGGTTTCAATACTCATTCTTAGAGGCACAAAATGAAATCTGAGAAAAATAAAAAAGTGTCTTAATACTAGGACTCAAGGGTTAAACACAATGTCTAAGCTAAATTAAGTAGTAAGCTTAAAAACCTTGCTTAATTACACGTATTAAAATTTCATTTTTGCTACACCAGCTACAACTGGGGTGGCAGGATTTTTATCACTGCAAGTATTTCAGTCAGTATGAGCTATAGTATTCCTGTATCAAGGCAGGAGCCAAGAGCTGCAACAAGGAGAGATTACAATGGCAAATCATAAGAGATAAAACACACCCACAGCTTTTAGTATTTTTTCTGCAACTGAAGGTAGGTATCCCCAAGCTAACATCAGTCCTATGCTCTCAAACCTGCCAGCCAAAAAGAAAACTAAGATAACTGAAGACTAACAGTGACTCACATCAGTGATGAACCTGCAAAGATTGAGCTGCTAGATTTCAGCTCTTGTTCAACACCAGCTACTACACACATTACCACACGAAATTCTTCACTCTGAACTTTGCAAAAGCATGACCTGGCCAGCTGAGTGACACCCCACCAACACACCTCACTAACGGTGGCAGCTGTAAACACAGTGGAGGTAAAGAACAGGGTACTGCTGCAAATTTCAAAAGCTGCCCCCTGAACAAGACTGACCAAAAAACTTCTCAATGTAAAGTGAAGCTCTGTCTAAGCTAAGAAGATAAACACTGAAATTTAAGCAAACAGTATCCAACCAGAACTTAATATTAGTCTTAAAGCCACAGGAATCACAGTAGTTTAAATCTGCTCTTCTTAATAACAAATCCCCCATAAACCCAACCTCTTTTCTCTCTGAGGAGTAAGTGAATGCTCACACACGAGCAGGTGTGGCAGCACAGAGCCAGGGAGGCTATTCTGCTCAATAAGCTTCCAAAGACAAATCAATAAGGATTGTGAGAATCTAGCACAAGAGGTTTGGCTTCATTTGGAATTACATTAATGCATATTCCTATCTTTACCAGGCTGTTTGCATTTCTCCCCTCCTTCCACATATGAGGCCAGCAAACAAAACACTGTAGAACAATTATTCAAAACCAGATTGAAACCAGACATGGGATTCATGATGCCACACCCAGCCCAACCTAACTTCTGTTAACAAATCAGGTAAATAGTTTCAGAGGAGGTCTCTCTACTCACCAGATGGCTCCTCTGGCTCACTTTCATTCTCTTCTTCTGCAGGAGCTGGTGGAGGTGGTGGGGGTAGTTTCTTCTCTTTCTCAGCTTTAGCATTTCTCTCTTCTTCAGAGTAATATTCATCTTCTGATAGGTTTGCAAGACTCTCATCCATCTCTCTATACTCGACCTGTGAAAAGCACAACAGAACATAAACACACTGAAGATGCCTGTAAGTCAGGCTACTAACACTAATGTTGCAAGTAACAAAATTGCTTACAGTTTAAAGAAAAGGCTTGAGTTACCTTATACAGACTCTTATTGCAGATACTATGTTATAAAATGCAATAAAGCTTATGAAGTCCCAAATGTTTTCGCCTCCACCTAAAAAAAATCTTCAGCACCCTATAGTAGGAGCTTTCTACTCACACCAAGCCCAGTTTATGTGTTACATTATCATTTAACCTTTCTGGTTTTCTTCCTTTCCTTCACATCCCTGCCAAGGGATAAAAAGCACTCTCTGTGTCCACTCTACGTGCTCAAACTTGAATTTCATCTGCTAAGCACAGACGACCAGAAGCTACACCAGATTTCCTGCAGAAATCCTACCTGTGCCCTGTCTGGTCTCCTGCTTACAAGGAATCTTGTCCTGGTACAGAGGCTCACAGCTATTTCCTCTCCAGAATGGTCACACTAGTGGCTCAACACAAAAAATATCCCTTCCCCTCATCACCTCCATCTTTATTGCCACATATGTCTTGTTCTGTTACTGTTCTCCAGTAAAAATAAATAAAATCACCAGCCAAAAAGACTCACTCCAACTTGAAGGAACATGGAAACCCCAAGAACTAGCCTGGGAAGGCTGCATCTCACATTGCTTAGTCAACCAAGCTTTAAGCCAAAGTAAGAAAGTTCTGGATACCACTACTGAATTTCCATACTGACTGGAAAGGAAAAGAGCACTTCTCAATATGCAGCCATGGGAAAAATAAACAGAAAGTAGCTAGTGATCCTCCAACATCCAAAAGGTCCTTCCACCAGGACACAACAAAAACAATTCTGGATTTCTCACCAAAAGAAAAAAACCTTTCATAGTCCAAGCTCAGTCACTAAAAAAGAGCAATAATGGACACAATTCCAAGTAGCTTTGGGAAGCCCGTGTACAGGAAACCCTGGATTCTTTAAGACACTAACATACTCCATGACCTGCTATCTTTTAAATATTTACATTCCACAATGTCCAGCATATTCAGTTTTTCACCCTGTTGCATGTCCAGGACCTCCTGTGAACTCTCACTCTGAAGCAAGTGATCACTCAGCACACATCCACACATGACCAGGGATATTTGAAGCCACACACAATTACTGTCCAAAGGCCCTTTGAAGTCTCCCATTTCCTTAAATCTTCCACAACTTTTGAAAAATAATCAAGTTCAATAAAAAACCCCAAGCTTTTCTCTAGATTAATTTTAACCTAGATACCCTGCCAAACTAAGTTCACACCACAGACACTCATGGGAAGGTGACCTCATGCTGGCCTGAGTGTTCAAGGTGACAGATGTGACAGATGGTGCCACAGGAGACAAACACCCTTTACAGATGGGTACTGTCAGTGCAAAGAAACAACACCAACACACAGCCCTCACAGAGCACTCACTCCTACTGGTTAACAGACCACTATAAAGAAGGAATGCTGCCTCTGAAGATCACTGAATGGTTTGGACTGGAAGGGACATTCAAATCCATCTCATTCCCACCTTGCCATGGGCAGGGACATCTTTCACTTGACCAGGGTGCTCCAAGCCCTGTCCAAAGTGTCCATGAACACTTCAGGGATGAGGCAGCCACAGCTTCTCTGAGCACCATGTGCCAGGGCCTCAACACTGTCATTGTAAAAAATGCCTTCCTCACGTCCAGTCTATTTCTACCTTATTGTGATTTAAAAGATGCACCGGACTGACCTGCCCGACAGCTCCTGTGTGTGAAGGACCAGTCCAGATCACATCACATAACGGCTCTGAAGAGCCACACTCAATGCCACAGGACAAAACAGTTCCAAAAATGTAATTTCAGCTTCCATGTCAAACACCCTAACCCCAGGAACAGTCAAGATCTTTAATATCTTCAGAAAGAAGGTTTCCAATAAAAGGTGTCACGTGTCACAAAAAAAAGGGCAATGTTCTCATATATTCTGATGAGAATTACGTACTACAGATCCAAACTATTGGAGAGCTTTTACAGCTGTGAGATTTCATTGCTACATCTCACCCTTACACAGCCTTGACTCGGCTCTTCAATATGAATGGAGGGAAGGTGAAGAACAGTGGACTGAGCACGGCCATCACCTTTACAAGCCTGCAAAACCAGCATTATCCCATACACATGAGCCTCGAGAGGCTGCATCCATATACCACAGTAACAAAAGAATTTGCTGATAAAATGTAAGCTCACGAGCGCTCCAATGCACTGCCATGGATCTGGGGTGTTTTTACTGCTCAGTATCCTGTCAGGAACCGCAAAAAGTTCCTAAACAGCAGCAGAAAGCTCTCCTTTATGACAGGGCACGAGTCCTCCCCAGAGCCCACGAAGGTGGGCTAAGGACAACAGGGGATCGCGATCATAATCTGAAGTCAACGCGGCTTCCTGCGCGCCCGCGTGTTTGTCCTTGGCACTCCCGACACCGGAGCCCTCGGTCCCTCGTGCAGGGCCCGGTCCGTGCTGAGCCCCACGGAAGGGCCGGGGCCCGGCCGCCGTGAGGAAGGGCTGGCCCAGCAGGGCCGGGGCCTGCCGGTCGGGGCGCACCGCGCCAGAGGGCCCCGCACCCGGACCGCCCCACACCTACTTTGGCTCGCTTGCGGCGGCTGGTCCTGCGGCCCTCGGGGGTCTCGGCGATGCCGGTGGTTTCGGCGCCGGGCGCAGGGGTGGCCCCGACGGCCGACGGCTCGGACACACCGCCCGGAGGCGAGGCCCGCGGCGGCTCCTTCTTGCGGGGCGTGCGCTCCGAAGCCCCGCCGCTATCCGAAGAGGAGCCCAGGGCCCCGGCGGCGGCGGGCGGGGGCACCGGCGCCTCTGGCCCGGCCTCGCCGCCCGCCGCCACCTCCGCGCCCTTCTTGCCGCCCGCCAACATCGCCCCCGCCGCACAAAGGAGCCGCCCGGGGGCTGCGGCCCCAGCCCTACGTCACATCCGGGCCGCCGCGCGCGCGCACCGGGGCGGCCCCGCCGCCAGCGGGGGGCGCTGCAGCCCCGCGGGAGGGCCCTGCGCCACAGCGCCCCCTGCAGCTCGCGGGTCGTCCTCGCAGCCGCCACCGGGCCGCGGAGCCGCCACCGGGCACGGGCCCCGCTCATCGCTCCGGGCTCCGAACGGGAACAGGTCCCGCTCATCGCTCCGGGCCCCGAACGGGCACGGACTCCGCTCATCGCTCCGGGCCCCGAACGGGCACGGGCCCCGCTCATCGCTCCGGGCCCCGAACGGGGACAGGCCCCGCTCATCGCTCCGGGCCCCGAACGGGCACAGGCCCCGCTCATCTCTCCGGGCTCCGAACGGGCACAGGCCCCGCTCATCGCTCCGGGCTCTGAACGGGCACAGGCTCCGCTCATCGCTGCGGGCCCTGAATGGACATGGGCCCCGCACACGGCGTTCCCCAGCCTGCACACCTGGCCCACAGCAGCAGCACCTGCTGGCGACCCAGGGCAGTAATGAGCACTGTGGCCATAACAGCCCTGCGTAAACAGATGGCAGAATGGTTTGGATTGGAAGGAACCTTAAAGCTCATTTGTCCAACCTGGACATTTTCAGGGATGAGCAGCCACAGCTTCTCTGGGCAACCTGTGCCAGTTGTCCCTCAGTAAAGAAACAATATTTGATCTAAATCTACCTTCCTTCAGTTTAAAGCTATCCCTCCCTGTCCTGTCATTCTAGGGTCTTGTCCAAAGTCCCTCTCAGCTCTCCTGGAGCCCCTTTAGGTCCTGGAAGGGACTCTAAGCTCTCCCTGGTGCCTTCTCTCCTGGTGAACAACCCCAGTTCTCCCAGCCTGTCTCCAGAGCAGAGGGGATCCAACACAGGGAACATCTCTGTGGCCTCCTCTGGACTCACTGGGGATGCCAGAGCTGGAGGCAGCTCTGCAGGTGGGGCAGAATCCCCTCCCTTGTCCTGCCCATTCCTGCTGGGGATCAGCCCAGCACTTGGGGCTCTGGGCTGCCAGCACACATTACCAAGACACATCAAGCTTCACGTTCACAAAGGATTCCATTTTAGCCCTGTCACCTTTCAAGGTCTGGCACTTTTCATCAGCATGTCTTCTCTCAGGTTTTTACTTAGACCAGCAGAAAAAGCTGGTAAGGCAGGAAATGTAAGTTGAAGCTCCAGGTTTTGGACAGGACTCTGCTGATGAATGCCCAGCAGTCCCATAGATGCCAGAGATGTTCTGCTCTATGTTCCCTTGGGTATCTGAAGAGTAATTGCTAAAGGTAGCAGAAAACTAAATGCACACTTGCTCATTTTCTTGCTTCTTTCCTTAAAACTGGTCATTCCCTGGAAGGGAGGGTGGCTGGTCTAAGCAGACTTATTACTTTATCCTGAAGCTGGTGCTGGCTTATCACATAACTCTACAGACACTGGGAGCATTTAGGTGCCTGGGAAGGCAGAAGTTACACAGGAAGATTTAGATGTAATTTTGACCATTCTTAGGGAGACAGGAAGCAATCTGAGGCTGTAGAAGGTCTGCAAGGTGCAGCTGATGCACTGCAGATGCACTGCAGATGCCCAGCAGAAATGCACAGCAGGTAGAAGCTCAGCAGCACACACTGACAACTGCAGTGCTGAGAAGCAACTGGAGCAGAATGGAACCAACTCTGAAATCTTGTTCAGTAGTTACATATGAAATCCAGCTGGAAGAACTGCAGAGATAACTAAACACTGATAGGGGAGAAAAGGAAGTAACAGGCAATTGAACACTATCTAATTCTATAAGAACACTATCTTCACCTGTGAAATAGGTATTAATAAGTATTGCATGTTTCCATAGGAACTGGCATTTCCTTCCTCTTTGCACTTTAATGTCCTTCTGTTTGCATTTACTCAAATTTCTGAAATAGCCAGAAAATTCATTTTTGCATTAGGTTTTATCTAATGGATGAGACAAATGATTTTCTCAAAGAACACTTAACATGTCTTCCATAGCTTTACACCAGCCAACATCTCATTCAAAACTTGACACAGTTATTTATTCTTCTGAATTGACAGATTCAAGTTGATGCTTTTATTTTTGAGGGCCTTTTATTAAATACAGTTAACATGACAAATGTAGGCTCTCCAGATTTGAAAAACTGGCTCCTAAATCCATATCTATAGTTTAGCTTCGTATTTGCTGGGGTATAAACACAATTAGAATAAGGCATACAAAGGGCTTTCAGCAACATCTTGTTTCACCCAAGACATCATTGTGCCCATCATCTTATAAGGCATTTTTCCCTATGATCAGAAAGACAAATGTAATTTAACAATAAAATATATGAGAATATTCTCACATGTGAAACAATGACAATTTGCTTCAATGACTTCTCTTTGTACAGAGCTGAGCAGAACTTTTAAATTTACTGCAGATAGAAAATCTGATTTTTATATGGAGTATGTATATTCAGGCTGGTTAAAACATTTATATGCACATGCAAACTTTTATTTTATTTTTACTTCAACAAAAGTAAATATAATCCTATTTTTTCATCAGAAAAGTCTGAGATAATCAATGCCAAAGCCATTTCCACATTTACCCACTTTGTTCTTCAGTAACTCACATGGGCAAGCTGTGTCCTGGGCTTTTTATATGTAAGAATTTTTATATATAAGAACAATGGTGAAGAATAAGTATGTCAACACTGCTATTTCAGCTGGATTCTTATTAATGAAAAACCCTCAATGGAATGGAGGATAAACCTCCTCAGAATGAAAGTGTGGCTCTGATACACTGGCTGAGCAACTGGACACTTCCATATACACAAAAAATCTAGGCAAAGTACAACAAAAATGGAGGAGCTGAAGGAAAAAGGGAGAACAAGAGAGAATTAGTAACTTTCTCAAACGTGTGGGTCCTGTTCTAATTCTCTGTAACATCCTTCCATACCCCCAGCAGCACTGTGGGCAATAGGAACAGCTGATCCCACTATAAAGCTATGAAATACCACCTAGGGCTCATTTTCAAGGAAGACATGGTACATTTCCTCAGCTATAATTCATCCTTCTTCCCACACTTCAGAGAAGGAAGGTTTTATTAAGTAGCATTTTTCATTATGACAGACATGAATGCAGCTGCATTCAGCTTTTTAAAACACACTGGCAAACACAAGTATCATTATACAGGAAATCAAGTCACCCAAAGCCTCTTCACTGTGAAGAGGGTGAGACTGGGAAGGTTCACAGAATGCTGAGAACAGAAAAAGGATCAAAAACAATGTTCAAGGCATACACAAACTGAAGAAAAAGGTGCTTTGAAGTCTACACTTGTTTCCCTTCCTTTAAAAGTCTATACTATGATATGGAAATAAAAGTCAGTGTGGTGGGTGGGGGGGAAGGTCTTCACCCAACACTTTTTCTAAATGAAGTTCCACGGTTTTGTTTTTGTTAAAAATAAGTCATTTATAATTTAATACCTGTTTCAGGATACTCAGATCTGTGGTGCTGTTAACAGCGCACTTAATTTGCATTATCCATTAAAAAAAACAACTTAAAAAGCAGCTCTGAACTTTGCTTCTGAGATGGAAGCACTGTCTCTGAACCAGCAATCATTGCTGTCACTCTTGCTTTGCATCTTTCAAGGCCTGAAGTCTTTCTAAAAGGGGTGGGTGGGAGTAATGCCACATTGAAAAGATCCAGTCAGAAACAGGGAATCCTAAATTATCTTTGTTTAGCTTGATCAAAGCAGAATAGAGATCTTTAGCCTTCCCAAGTTCCTTGGCAAATGCATCTGCTTGAAACTCAAATCGTCGACTTAATACAGTCAGACAAAACGAGAGAACCTGCAGAGAGAAATGCATTAAAAATGATTTTACAATTCAGCTATCTGCAAATTCCTTCAGTGCCACTAAATACTAGCACATCTAGCTTCCCACATCCCACACACTGCTGTGGCTGCAGACTGATCTCACTAAGCTTTATCCAAGCCACACAAATGAAACTGGGAGTGCTACCCAACATGCAGCCCTAAACCTGATTATCAAAATGAGACACCCAATATAGCCCCTAGAAATTTCAAACTTCTCCTGACAAAACAGAATCATTATTTAAATAGGTGACACCTCAGTGTCTATGTCTTGAAAACAATTTACCTCATTGTAAGGTGAAAAAATGAACTGGAAAATAATCATCAAGCCTATCAGGGTAGGCTGGGTGTCATAGAAACCAAATGCAGCAAAGAGTTCTTTCTGACCAATTAGCACAGCAAACAAGAAGAAGCAAAGGAAGGAATTCATCTGGAGAAAAGAAAAAACATTCTTGATTAAGATAAGTCATTACATAACATCACATTATAGATTTGCACATGGATGCCACTGCAAAAAACCAAGTAATTATTTTTGAATACCCGAATATACAGAGAGGAACAAACAGTTGGTCTTTACCTGCTTCCTGAAAATGCAACCGTAGAAGAACCACTATTTTCTGTCAGTGAGCAAAACACAAGCAATAAAGGGAAATGAAAAAGCAAGAAGAGAAGTGAGGAGGGTGTACAGGATAGAACCCATCTCCTTGAAATTAAGCCCAGGTTCTGAAAAGTTTAAAGCCAAACAAAACGTGTCTGTGCTGGTTTGTACTTCTGCTCCTGGAAACAATCTGTGCTTCCACCTAAGCTCTGCAGTGTCGTGTACAAGCACTGTGCTTGCCTGGCTTTTCAGAGCCAAGAGGCAGCATCATGCCTTACCAAGTTTTCTACAGGGGGTGATTAGTTATCCATGTGGTTGTTTGGTCTTTCTAGAGTAAAATGGAAGGTGCCAGAATATTGTTTGTTATCGAAACACACGGAACAGAAAAGAAGGATGGCTGTGATCCAGACCAACTTTCTGTCACACAGTGTATCAGGTGAATGTACACTAACAAATCTGGAAGAGGGCATTTGGAAAGAGCTATAATTAGAGATG